TAAAAAACAACATTTATAATGAATTTTAATAATTTTTTCGGATTTTTTTTGAAGCTTTAATCCGACCGATTCAGCCGATTCCCGATCCATATCGCCGATTTGCAGATCCGGATCGGTTTTTGAGGTGCCCGATCCGGGTCACCGATCCGCTTTTTAAACCATTGCTTTTATCAAATACATAATGATCTGAAGCTTTTCTTTGAAATCTGAAGTGACATATTGCCATGTTGAAGTTTTTGAACCAAGCCCGAGGTGATTGTTCAGTCCATATATAGCTTTTCTCATGTTATAGACCTTCCCTTTCTTCCCCTGAGGATAAAACCTAGGTGGTAATGCCATATATACTTCTCTTTTAGATCTCCATGAAGAAAGGCGTTCTTCACATCTAATTGGTGGAGTGGCCATTTTTTGTTTACTGCAATGGATAGAAGTTCTTTTACTGATTTCATTTTTGCTACAAGAGCAAAAGTTTCCTTATAATCAACCCCATATAACTGTGTAAAACCCTTAGCCACTAGGCGAGCTTTGTATCTCGCAATTGAACCATTTGTATACGAACATTTGCATCCAACCAAATATTGCCCTTCTGGCGGATCAATTATATCCCAAGTTTGTTGCTTCTCTAAGGCAATTATTTCCTCAATCATGGCCCCTTTCCATTGTGGATGAGCTAATGCACTTGCAACTTTGGTGGGAATAGAAACAAAGGACGTGGAGCAAAGGTACGTACGAAAGGAAGGTGAAAGTGATGCACAATAAACAAGCTTATTGATTGGATGAGTGGTACAGGTCCTTTTTTCTTTTCTTACGGCAATAGGTAAATTGCGTTGATAAAGCATAGGGGTAGAAGGAGAAGAAGTACTTGACGAGTCAACGAGTTTCTAACAAGCGTCTATTTTCCTTTTTGCCACACTGTTTTGTTGTGGTGTATAGGAACACAAAGTTTCTAAGCCATGTTCAAGAAAATAAATTTTTAATTCTTTGTATATATACACTCGCATAAGAAACAAACTTACTGATTAGATGAGTGGTATAAGTCCTCTTTTCTTTTCTTATGGCAATAGGTAAATTGAGTTGATAAGGCATAGGGTAGAAGGAGAAGAAATACTTGATGTGTCAAGGAGTTTCTAACAAGTGTCTATTTTCCGTTTTTGCCGCACTGTTTTGTTGTGGTGTATAGGAACACAAAGTTTCTATACCATGTTCAAGAAAATAATTTTTTAATTCATTCTACAGATACACTAGTGCTTTATCAGAATGGAAAATTTTATTGAGGTCTCAAACTATGTTTGAACCATTTTTTGAAATATTTTAACTACTAAAGGTATTTCATCTCTAATTTTCATAAGATAGATCCAAGTATAATGAAGTTGTCATTGATGAATGAGATAAAACGTCGATATCTAAATTCAAAAGTTACTGGAGCAGACCCTCAAACCTCAGAATGAACGAGATGGAAAAGTTTAAAAATTTTATTTTCACTAGAAGAAAATAGGTTCTAAAATGTTAAGACAATTGTTCACATTGTAATTGAGGAACATTCAAGGACACAAACTTATCCGAAAACAATAATTTTAAAGATTTCAAAGCCATTTGGCCTAAATGGTAGAGGACTTGCTCATGACTTCGAGACGCAGAGTTGAGAAGAGTAGAATTGTATCCCGTATTGAACAACTACAGCCCATTGTCTTCATGACCACTACCAATCGTCTTCCTCGTTTTCAGGTCTTGCAGAACGCAATGTGAGGGGTAAAATGTGACACCGCAGTTTAGTTGTTTTGTCAAGTTGCTAACAGAAGGAAGATTAGAAGGAAAATATGGCACATGTATTATAGAGGGTACGGACAAGGATGATGAAAGTTTATATCTATCACTCCCAGTGTCACTGATCATGGATCCATCGACAAGTTTAACTTCACTAGAACCATGAGAAAATGACAAGAAACCAACTTTCTTGCCAGTTATACGGTCAGGAGCCCCTGAATCAATTATCTAGGGTGTAGAAGAGGTGGAGTTGGAGGCATGGTTTGTAGTTGCATATGTACTTGGCTGCTCTATTGTAGTCTTAGAGCCAAGGTTTCAAAGACGGCAGGTGGCCCTTAGGCGGCTGGCCTAGTGCCAAGTGCCGAGCTCCTAGGCTGGCGCTTAGAATTTTGGGCGCCTTGTAGTGCAAATTCTATAGATATATGCATATATGTGCTTCCCAAATGTACATATATGCATATATTTATGCTAATTCTGTAATTTTTTGTATTTATGAATATTGTGACTAACCTTTTTCATACAAACATATTGCAGTTAAGAATAAACATGTTCAAAGCTCCAAATCATAGAAAATTGAGTGAAAGGACTTAAAAAAAGTCTAAAGTTTATTACGGTATCAGTCTCCAGCTCTCCATATTCCATAATCACACAGACTCCAAGTCTTCACCAAACTTACAAAACTACAAAACCAATACTCCAAAAGCACAAAAACTCCAAAATCCATATTTCCAAGCCAAGATGTCTTCAAAACTCTCCAATAGCACCCTAAAAAAGAATTCCAACAATGAGAAGTCAGGTTATGGATATTTCTTGCAATCTCTCTCTCTTTTTTTTTCGATTCACAAAGATCTCAAAATCAATAGATTTGTGACTTTGATTCCTATATATTTTTTTTGACTTTGGGGTTGTGGAAGACCGCAAAAGTCATCTTAAGAAGAAAACGTGGGTCAACAACGACCCATTCACTAAAAAAGGGGTGGTTGCCCACCAGAATTGGGCGTTGGGAGCTCGCTTAGGCTTGGGCATGTGCCCTAGGGTTTACTCGGTGTCTAGGTCTCCTTGGTGCGGGAGACCATTTTTTAAAACACTGCTTATAGATGAGTGAAGCCTTGAGAGCAGTTAACTGGTGCTGTAAATCTTTGATGGCCCGATCTCTTGGATCGAGTGCATTGCATTGTATGGTTGAGGTTTCCTCTCCCTCGCCCGATGCAGTATGGGAATTTTCATTCCTTGGTTTCGGTCTTAAGTGTGGATACAATTCTTAACAGTGCTCTCGAGTATGTCTCCTCTTACTATAATGGTAGTATTTGAGTTCTCGTTGTCAACAGGAGAAAGGGGGGCACATTTGGGTCCTTTCGTACCCACTTTTCTTTGCTTGATGCTTGTTGCAAAGGCTGATCGTACAGGAAGGATACTTGAGTTTTGTCCTTTTGTAATAGCGTTTCTACTAGTCTTCCCTCTTTTTATCATTATAAATTGATTTGTGAGAGGGCGATTTGTCCTTTCTTGGAACTTGTACTATCTGAAGTTCTAAGTCAGGATGTAAGCTTGCTAAGAACTCAAAGATCCTTTGTACCTCGGCCTTTTTTTTAATGTCGTCAATGGTGAGATTAATAGGTTGATAGTCGTTAGTCCTCCTTACTTATGCCTTAGTGTCCCAAAGTACTATGTCACAATCATTTCTCTTTGCTGCAAATTCGCTATTTCACGAAGCAATTAGTAAGTTGAGTATGTTTTGGCTGCTGTTTCCCATATATGCCTTGCAGCCTTAAGTAACTTCCCCCGTGCTGATACTTGGCTGCATGGAATGGAGTCATGCCATTATTGTCAAGTTCTCACTTTCTCATTCATCATGAGATAGATTATTTGGGGAGGCTCTTCCACGTTTTTCCATCTTGTTGTGAGTATGTTTTGGCTGCTGTCTCCCATATATGCCTTGCAGCCTTAAGTAACTCCCCCGTGCTGATACTTGGCTGCATGGAATGGAGTCATGCCATTATTGCCAAGTTCTCACTTTCTCATTCATCATGAGGTAGATTATTTGGGGAGGCTCTTCCACGTTTCCTGTATCCAATTTCCTCCGACTTCCTATGGACATTTTGGCAGATTGATACCATTCTAAGTAGTTTGTCTCATCTAGCTTAATTGTAGTAATCAGCAATTTTGGGTAGTTAGATTGACTGCTTCCCAAGGAAATATTGTGCTTGATTTTTGTCATTGTCCTTCTCTCTCAAACTGGAAGCCCTAAGGGTATGGTAACTGAGAAATCTGTTTTCCTGGAGAAGTTCTAAGAAACTAGAAGCTTGAGAAAAAGGTAGAAGTAGAAAACTCTCGCTGAAAGCTGAAGACCCTTATTTGGTAACCTGTATGTGAAAATTGGAGAAAGCTCGGATTAGAGCTTGGGCAAAGAGAGATTGAGAGAGGAGATAGATCATGAGGTTAGAGAAATAAAAGGGGCCAAGGTGCTTTGTGTTTCCCCATTGTCCTAAGAAATTGGCAACAAACCCATTGGGGTGCACTGCAATTTTCCCCATAAATGGGGCAAAGCGTGGAAAAACAGGGAAATGCGGGGCTTTGCATTTCCACTCTTTTCCTTATTCCCAAACAGTTGGAAAATGTGGTAACTGGGAAAACATGTCTTTTCATCCTGTTTTCTTAGATATCAAATAGGGCCTAAGGCTTTAATTCAAGGAACTAAGGGATTAGTTTCAAATATGAGGTTGCTGGAGATTATGAGGTTGTTGGAGATTATGAGGTTGTTGGAAAATATGATGTTGCTGAAAAAGAAAGGAGTTTGGGATAAAAACTTATTGGTAAAGGAGAAGTGAGATAATTTTGCTGTAAATACAAGGTTGTTGATACACCACAACTTCACTCCCAAGAAGGAAGAAAACTCGTGATTCTAGGGTTGCCGGAAGTAATTGATATCCTAGGGTTTCAATCCCTACTCTGATAACATCTTAAGATTGAGAGTGAAGAGGAAGAAAGTAATATTCAAGCACAAGAGAAAAATATCGATGTCTTTTTTCACTCTCTACAAATTGTGGGGCAATGTGCTCCTACATATACACAGATTCCTATGGGGGTTGCGATGTAGGTAGGTCAATATGCATAAGAGTTGCTATCATTACGTATGAATGTTACAGCCCATTACGCATGACTGTTACATGACTGTTACAACAAGAAATGCACGACTATTATTTTTCTATACGCTTAGTGGGTGTGGGGCCCATAACAATCACTACAATTTATAATCAGGCCAATGGGAGATATCAAGGGTCAGGTCTTGGCTATCAAGTTCCATAACTTCTTGGGGGCCTTCTGATTGTTAAAACAACCACACTGCAAACCTATTGTTCGCTAATAGATGCTATGTATTTTTGTCATTTATGTTTGTTATCTTCTCTCTATGCAAAATAATATGCTATGACTTTGTAAGATTGACTTCTTTACCATCATTATTTAGTTTCATATTTCATTTTGTATTATTTACTAAACTCTGTCATGACTGTTGATTTATGTACTTTAGGCTTTACTTTACGCTGTGGGATTAGGTAAAGGTGCCATTCCAACAGCTGCCGCTGTGAATTGGGTCCTTAAGGATGGACTTGGCTACCTCAGCAAAATTTTCCTGTCAAAATATGGCCGCCATTTTGATGTTCATCCAAAGGGGTGGAGGCTCTTTGCCGATTTGCTGGAGAATGCTGCCTATGGACTGGAGCTACTAACACCTGCATATCCTCAATTTTTCGTTTTGATAGGTGCAGCTGCAGGAGCTGGTCGTTCAGCAGCTGCGTTGATCCAGGTAAATACTCAAAATGGAATTTTTCTGATGCTATATTTGTGAGTTTGGTCTGCCTAACATACATATACTTTAGTTCCATGATATTTGGTAATGTGCTCCATTATGTGATGAGCGTAGTTGTTGAAGACTGCTTTATTGACTCTTGTATCTTTGTAATCCAATAAAATTTTTCTATTACACTTTTTTGTTGTTTCTTGATAGTATTTAATCATGTGATTTAATGTGAATGGATGATTATCTTCTTATGGGCATGGCTGCAAATATGTACAAGTGCAACGAATGTAAATTATACAAGAAGATATTATAATTTTGTAAGTTAAGATGCAATACTGTTGAAATTGGAACTGCAATTGTGCACTTATCTTTTAGAACAAATTAATTTCATTGCCATAAATGATTGGACAAGAACCAATTGGTTCCTCTTATTTGCAAATATGGCTTCAACTTCCTTACATCTGATGGGCTTTATACATGCCATTCCTTAGAAGATCGTCACCATAATTAGAGCCTTTCCCAACTAATTGGAGTCGGCTAACATAAATCCTAGTCCGCCATTCTGCTCTATCAAGGGCGATACCCTCAATGAGGCTATAAGTCCACATATCTTTTCTCACTACTGCCAACCATGTCCGTTGGGGCCCATCCCTTGCCCTTTTTAGGCCTACTACTTGAACTAACTCACACCTAGTAGCTGTTGTATTGGATTTACACTGCACATAGCAGCCCAGCTAAGTCTACTTTCTCTCATCTATCTCCTATTAGTGCCAAACCTAAATTCTCTCGAATGTATTCATTTTTAATTCAATCTCTTCTTCTACTCATCCATCTCAACATCCTCATCTCAGATACACTCATTCTATGGGTATGTTATTTCTTGACCACCCAACATTGAGCCCCATAAAGCAATGCTGGTCTCACAACTGTCTTATAGAACTTGCCCTTCAGCTTTATTGGTACGTGGTGATCACATAAAACTCCGGTTGCACATCTTCACTTCGTCCACCCAGCTCTAATTATATTGTGACATCTTGTTCAATCTCTTAATTTTTCTAGATTATCGTCCCAAGATATCGAATTTGTGCTCTTTTTGGTATTTCTTGGCCCTTGATCTTAACTTCTTCCTCGTCTCTAATTCCTATTATTACTAAACTCGCATTTTATATACTCTTTGTTTGGCTAATTTTAAAACCCCTAGATTCTAGAGCCTCTCTCCAAAGTTCTAACTTTGTGTTGACGCGTTTCGGGACTTATTGATTAAACGTATGTCGTCTACGAAGAACATATACCATAGTACCTCATCTTGTAGGTGCTTAGTTAAGTCATCCATAACTAAGACAAATACGTATGGGCTCAATGTTGACCTGTGATGTAGATTGTCATTGAAAACTCACTCGTCTCTCCACTGGTTGTTCCTACACTTGTTAACACTCCATCGTGCATATCTCTTACCAGGTCGATGTAGTGTCTGGAGACTCATTTCTTTTCCATCACCCACCAAATCAAATCTCAAGGTACTCCATCATTTTCTCCAGATCAATAAAGGTCATGTGGAGATCTTTTCCCTTCGCTTTAAACTTCTCAATCAATTGCCTAAGCATGAAAATAGCTTCAGTTGTTGACCTCCCTGGCATAAAACCGAATTAGTTTTCTGATACACTCGTTTCATGCCTTAGTCGCTATTTAATCACTCTTCCACTGCTTCTTAATGTGGCTCATAAGTTTAATTCCCCGATTGTTTGCACAATTTTGGATGTTTTCATTTGTTCTTATAAATAGGTACCATAATATCTTTTATTTATTTTTCTGACATTTTCTTTGCTCTCAACATCTTTCTGAACAATTTCGTCAGTCAGTCAATGCCAATCTCCCCCATACACTTCTAAACCTTTATCCAAATATCATTTGGTCCTAAAGCCTTTCATATCTTCATCATCTTTAAAGCTTCTTTCACTTCCGATATCCTAATCGTATCAGTATATCTATGATATTTGCTCTCATTTATGCCAACGGTTTCTTTTTACCGTTATGTTCCCATTGTATTCGTTATTTTATAATTTTTTAAAATAAACTCTCCAATTTTTGTTGACTTCTTCATCCTTCACTAAGACCAGTGTTTCAAAAAGTGCTAGGCGGCACCTAGGCGGTCGGGGGGTCTAGGCCGCGTAACGCTTAGCCAAGCGCTCAAAACTTGGGCGGCCCAGGAAATTTTCTTTTTTTTGGGTATTTATATCTCTAAAATAGCCTCTAATGAGTTTTAGGTTTAACACTTTTGCATATTTAGTATTAAAAAAACGGGAAAATATCCTATTATCCCCTATTTTTAACTTCTATATCTCATTAGACCCAAGAATTGAAAATATTACTTGTAAGCAAAAAGACTCCATCTTTTCTATCTTTCAACACCCTTGTAACAATCCCAAACTTTAAAAAAAATAAAAATAATAATAATAAAAAAAAATAAAAATAATTCTTTATAGTGTGATGGTCCATATGAGTATTATGGTCCTTAGGGACCATCACCACATTTGTTAACTTTTTCCTTTCCTTTACCACGTCTTTTAGTTGACGTGGGCCTCAAAGGCTTCACGTATAACATTATCATCACACCTCATGTGTGAGGTGGAGCTTAATAAAATAGTATAATAACATGTCTTAAGAATTTAAATTCGGAGAGGTGAGCTCCCTCTCAAATATTTTAGGTAAATGTCTTCATGATTTTGAAAAATAAATACTTCTGCTTATTATCATGAATTTTAGGCGCGATAAATTTTATACGCGAGCGACCTCGTTATTTTGAAAAATGATCTTTTTAATAAGTTGTGATATTTATCTATGTTAGAAATTTTAAATGCTGTAAATTCTTAAAAATAAATTTATTTATTTTTCTTGTTTATTGTTAGAAAATTTTAGATACTGTAAAATTATTAGAAATGAATGTGATATTTCTGCTTTTAGTAAAATTATGAGATTTCTTTCTACTGTTTTTGAATATTTAGACATTGTAAATTTCATCTGCAAATGACTGCTTTATTATTTGAAAACTGATATTTTTGCAATTGATTATAGCATTTTTTGTGAAATGTTTATTTGTGAATTGACATCCCATAAATTGTAATAATTTCGTATTCTTGAATCTCTATGAGAGTTTTTCTATACATATTAGATTGGCAATTATGCTAGAATGTCTTTACGAACTGCTAACTTTCTAAATTTGAGCCCAAAATATTTGAGTAGTTATTTTTGAAATGCTATTTAAAGTGACTGTTATTAATGGTTTCAGTGAAATTCATATTAATAATTTCAGTGATATATTGAGTACATGATATTACTGCTTTCGAATGTTTAAAGAGATTTAGAAATACTTTAAGTATGCAAGTGGACACATCCGGTTCGCCGGTGAGGTATAAGTGGACCTATCCGGTACGCCGGTAGGGGTTAAGTGGATTCATCCGGTATGCCGGTGAGGTATAAGTGGACCTGCAGAAATTAAGTGGACCTATCTGGGACGTCGATAGGGATTAAGTGGACCCATAAGGACGCTGATGGGGTATATAGGTAACCTACTTGGGACACCAGTAGGGTATTTTGTGAAATCTTTTGAATTATGCACTGCCGTTAAAATGTTATACGCATTTCAATTATTCGAATTATACTTAATTATGCATTTTTGAAAGTGAAACTGTTGATGTATTTCTGTTAATAGATCTCCTTTTTGAAAATATTGATATCTTTCAACCATGATTATTTTTAGAATTATGATGATCACTTACTGAATAGCCAAACTCATAAAATTATGGTAAACATTTTTTTTCAGGATAACTACGGTTTCATTTTTAGTGCTCGTCAGAATCAACTCTGAAAGATATTGTAGTTGTGCTTAAACTTTCTTTTGTTACTTTATAAGAATTCGCCATATTGTAAATTTGTCCTAAAATGAGATATATATATGTTTTGACTGTCACATCTCAGGAATATCAGTATTGTAAATTCTTGGGGTGTGACAATTATGGTATCAGATTAATAGGTTTAAGATTCTTACGAAATTTAAAAAGAATGTACTTAAAATCACATTTATTACGTGTACAGATCGGGACGAAATCAAGATCAAGAATAGCTGAAGCTAATATGGAAGGAATTCACAAAGCCTTGGAAAATATGGTTGCTCTAATGCAACATCAGATGGAAAACAACAATCCTCTCAGGCAGTCCGTTACAGGAAATGGTGGGAGTAATATCGAACAATTTAATAAATTGAACCCACCTTCTTTTAAGGGTGTTGTAAACCCACTGGAAGCCGAAGAATGGATTATGCAATTGGAGAAAATATTCGACGTAATGGAATGTCCTGATGATAGGAAGATGGCCTTGGCAGTTTTTATGCTAGAAGGTGAAGCACAACATTGGTGGCGAATGGCAAAAGGAGTATTGGTCAAAGAAAATAAACCCTTGACTTGGGAAGTATTTCTAGAGGCATTTAATGAAAAGCATTTCCCAGATTTTATTCGAGACAAAAAAGAAATGGAATTTTTGGAATTAATCTAAGGAAACCGGACAGTAGCACAGTACGAGGCCAAGTTTATTGAATTGGCAAGGTTTGCAGCACATATGATTAACAATGAGGCAAGAAAGGTGAAAATTTTTGAAAGGGGTCTTAGACCAGCTATTAGAAGCAGAATATTAGTCTTAAAATTAAGAACTTATGCTGAAATAAGGGATCGAGACCAAATTGTCGAGAAAGATTTCGAAAATTACCAAAAGATGAAAAATTAGAAAAGTCAGGTTAGACCCACACCATCTAATCGTCAACAGTTTGAAAGGGCAAACAAGAAGCCAAGGCCCTTGCCACTTCAAAGCTCAATAGAACCATGTAAAAAATGTGGGAAAAAGCATGGATCGCGCCCTTGTTATTGGAATACTAGAGCCTGTTTTAAATGTGGAAAGTTGGGGCACCAGATTAGAGAATGTCCTAGCTTACAGATGCAACAGCTTCCAAAGCCGGG